TTCATGGCAAACTGTGTGTAAAATGTTCGCACCTGTCAGCAACCCTGCCTACAAAAGTTAAGAAATCAGGCTCACAGAGTTCTCTAGTATTTCATGTACGGAGAAAATATGAAATGTGATGTCAGGGAAAGCAAGCAGGTTTAAATTAAGCAGATATGGCAGCCCTTCCTTGACCACACCACAGAGAAAGGACTATTCTATATGACCATACTAACCTATGAAGAAGAGCACACTAACTGTTTTTGTTTGTTTGTTTTTTGCCTTCTCACATCTGTAGGGAGGGATTGTTCTTGTTGTAATGTTCTTTTTAAACTGCTTTAAGGATTTGTCTCTTTTCTTTCTGAAAAAGTTCTAAATTAAATATATATTTATTAAAAGAAGGGTTAAGATTTGTCTCTGCTGTTATTGTCTGTTTGTTTACAAATTCACATTGTTAACACGCCGCGATGATCAAAAGAAAACAAGGCCTTGGGGTTTTGTTTTTTTCTTTCATTAGGGACAGACAAGGAAGCGTCAGCCCTAATTAATTAGCACAAAGAAAACAAGGAGCTCTTCTCAAGAAACAATCAGCTGCATACAAATCATGATGTAACTTAATGAAAGGCTTGGCTGATATCCATAAATCCACGCATTGGTCACAGAAAGATATAAAATGCAAAAATTAACTTCAGGTTTTGACCGGCTACATCAGCAGTCGTTGTTAATGAGAATAAATGTTTTTTTTTATGTTAAAGACTTTTGACTTGTCACAGTAGGAGAAGCACAAGTGTCACTACTAACATCAACCATGGCTCTGTTGCTGTAAAGTGTCCCAGTGAACCAGAATGCACAATAGCAGAGCTGTGGGACACCTAGTATATAGACTGCAGCTATTATGAATGGTATTAGTTACGTCTGTGAAAAGACCATTGATTCAGGTTGAATCTATTCTTGAGCTGCAGCTGACTTGTTTTCTTAAAAGCTTAGTGAACCCAGGAAAAAAATAGAATTACCGCCTTGTGGTTGTTGTATGCCTCCACAGACCCGTCAAGCTGCAGTTATAGTTTATATCCATGTCTGTCCAGAGTCACACGTCACATGCTATGAGAGTTAACAATGACTCAGATATGGATGTTAATACAAATTCTAAAATGTGGATGCTTCACACACATCTTCAACCCAGCAGCACAGAGGATCTATACAATGGACACCCAGGATTAGTGTCACCAGTTCAGTATCTGACCAAATGTCTCCCTTTCTCTTCCTGAGTTACAGCGTTGAATAATGGCCAGAAAAGTGTTTTTGCAGAACATTACGATGTCACAGTGAGTTGACCTATTTTTGTCAAATTTTGTTATAATTAGCATATAAATTCTTTCATTAAGACCTAAATCAGGATTCGTGAGGTAACAGTGATCTTGACCTTTGACCACCAAAATCTAATCAGTTCATTGTTGAGTCCAAGTGGACGTTTGTGCCAAATTTAAGAAATTTCCTCAAGGTGTTCTTGAGATATTGTGTTCACGTGAATGAGACAGATATGAGACCAAGTGACCTTTGGCCTTTGACCACTAAAGTCTAATCAGGTCATCCCTGAGTCCAAGTGGACGTTTATGCCAAATTTGAATAAATTTCCTTCATGCATTTTTGAAATATTGTGATCAAAAGAATGGGATGGCCCGACGTATTTTTTGCAGATTTGTAGTGATGGACATTACATAGATGGACTGTCGCGGAGGCATAACAAAGATTTGATTGGGGGGGTTTTACATCACTGTGTAAAAATGGAATCAAGTTCAGCAATGTCCTCAATGTCTAACAAGAGATTTTCATTACATTTATGTATTGAGACAAAAAACATATTTTTTAGACATACTAGTATCGTGGCTCTGCAGATGGTAATGTCAGTCGGTCTGTTTGCTCACCTGTAATGGAGGGATTGCCATGAAATTTAGTACATTCATGGTCCACAGAGAACAAAGCCCACTGACCTTCATGAACCATCAGGCCAAAGTTTTATTTTGTCCAATACTTTGGTTTATGACCAAATATCGGCAAAGCGAATGGCATTCTCATCAGCTTCAGCTGTGCTTACTGCTAATGATAGCTAACACCCTAACATTATACCTGCTGAACATCACCACGTCAGCGCTGTTATTAGCATTTAGCTCAAAGCACTGCTGTGCCTGGATCCTGAATACAGCCCAACAGCAGCATAGCTGTAGAGTCTAAGTCTTGTTTACACATACCTTATTGAGCCATTACTGTAGCAGAACTATTTGCAGACGTGTGGAGAGATGTGTTGATGTGTAAAGAATCTCTGGATGCGCGCTTAGATTTGTGAAAGAGTACAGGAACCTGCACATGTGTATCCAGAATCTGTTTGTGCATAATAAGATTTGTAAATGTGTAAAAAAAAATCCAAATCTGTATTCAGATTTGCAAGTGTACTGGAATTTGTAAGTGTGTAGACAAATCTGTAAATGTGTACATATATATTAATGAGTGTTTTGCTCCAAGAGCCGAAATACAATCATCAGTTACAACTCAGGTGGGCCTCTCAATTGGCTGCCTTTATACATGTGACTGTTGCCACACTTCTGTCATGGCAGCGATCTGTTAATGTATGTGGAGATTTGTCTGCACCGCTCCGTCTGCACTGGGCCTCAGTAGCTATACAGCCGATATACCAGCAGTCGGCAGTAGCAGTCAGTGATTTAAAGCTTAACCTTACTGTATATTCCATACAATTAATACTGTTTTTACCATATTTCAGTTCATGAAAGCCTTATGTTGATTCATACTGCAGCGAGGAGACAAAACTTTTCTTTCTACTCCACGCAGATCATTAACCCTTGAAACAACTAATTGTAATCAGTTGATAAATTTAAACAATATTGTATTCCAGAAAAACTGCAGCTCCCTTGTTTACTTGTTTTTGTTTACAGACAAGTCCTGCCCAGTTCAATATGGTGGTAACACTGACATTTTACATCAACAGGCCAAAGCAGTCAGTGCACCAACTTTGTACAATATGTACTGTACGTCAATGATCATAACCACTACTTAGTCCAGTGATGTCACGCTTAAAACCACGGGGATGTAGGCTGTATACTGAATGAGGCACAGAGCAAGCAGAGTGTTACAGACAAATCTCCACACGCATTTGCAATTGATGATCTGTCTGTATTTCCAACTCTTGGAGCAACATACTTTTTCAGCCATCAATATCTATGTACACATACAGATTGTCTACACATTTACAAATCTGATTCTGATTATGGGTTGAGATACAGTTACCCAGCTCTCCACACACATTTGCAAATAGATTTGCTACAATAATGGCCCCCTAATAAATCATTTAAGGTGCATTTTATTTGTGTTTGAGAATGTATGAACATGCTTAGTTTATTTGAACTACCCTTACAATGCACAACATACATGCACAAAAGTATTTTAGTTTTGACATTTGACCTACAGTGTGTGTGTGTGAGTGTGTCTTTTTCTATTTACAAAGCCTTCTGTGTGAATTTCATCATTGCCATATCTCAGTCTCCTTCACCTGCAGGGATGCATCACACTACTCTGGTCATGAGTGTGTTAAGGGGTGCTCTTGTGAGAAGTAAATACTGTATATTGAAGACACACCTGAGGACGTGTGGACTGGGTCACAGTGTCCAGCATCCGCTCCACAATAACATCGTGCCACATCAGCGCCAATCCTCCATGATACTGCACAGCGGCGGGGATCACCCATCTGTAAAGAGCATACAGGAGAGCTGCTCCACCAGTGCAGCTGTAAAGAAAAGTCAGCCACATCCTGCAACCAAGACAGAAAGCATCAATTCAGCATGGTAACATTGTGCTGCACTGTGGAGAGAGGCTGTGATAAATGTTCCCCAGACACAGAGCAATAACAACACATCTGCATGAGATAAATGAAAGCTCTCATATCTCCCCTCACTCCACCTCTCCCTTTGTGTAGGGATAATGAGATGGGTGTTTACTATGCAGTGTACAATACTGCTACTGCTCCTGTTTTCATTATCAGCTGCTGCTGCCAGGCCCAAGCTGCACACCCACACACGTCTCACTGTGGTAATATCACTGTAGGATATAATTTAATATCAACTGCAATAAGCACTGGTAAACACATAACACAGCTCTTTGTGTGCAGCTTTCTCCCTCACAGAAGCAATTAGTGTGCTCTGATATCTCGAGCACAGATGAATTGGGATGAACAGAGCAAAAAGGAGGAGAAAAGCACAGCCAGAATCCTAAACAAGGGCTCCTTCTGTGGGAAAGCAGTGGAGAGCATGGCTGGAAGCGGCATTACCTTGCACTAATAATGCAACTGTGAAAGACCAGTGGTGGTTGAGGTAATTCCTTTTGATTTAGAGTTTGAGTTGCATGGCAACTGGCTGGAGGTTAAGATCTGTGTCAGAAAAGGCAGAGCACTGGGACTTTAACCTTTACTTTGGATTCCATCTAACATACACACAACCAAGAGATTCACAGACAGAAGAGCAGAATAGTCCTAGCATGGCTAGATAAACACACACTTTCATCTTTTATCATCATGTAGAGAGATAAGTTTTCTGTTAAAGAACAGGAAGAAGAACAAGAATATAAAGGTTATCAAAATATTTTAAAAGCTTATTTGTTGAGAAACTGGCGTGACTACGAGTATCACCAACAATGTCAGTTACACACTAATCTCCCCAGTTTCACATTACTATGAGAAAACACATTCTTCAGTCCAAAAGAGGAACTACCACCAGACCGAGCCATAGTCTCCCTTGAACACCACAGGAACAAACACTTGTTAAGCATAAAACAAACACCTCATGCATCATTAAAGGGTCTCTCATTAAAACCTAACAGAAAATGAGACTTACATGTGTGGGCAGGCAGCGCTCCCTGTCCTCTTCTCACCTTCTCTTGTTCCTAGAGGAAAATCTCTGAGTTTTCTAGCAGGCGGACATATGCCAGCATTTATGTGAGACTAACTCCTCCCTCTTCTACCTTCCATCCCCCTCTCGGTGCTCTGCTGAATGTGAGCATGCAAAGAATGTACAATGGATAAAATCTCAACGGTCACACACACACACACACACACACACACACACACACACACAAGCACACTCTCTGGGATTTCTAAAAAGGAGGGGGTAATTCCTGGTTGGCATTTAAAGGAGTACTCCACAAAATGATCATTTCTCAGTTATTTTTTCACCTCTTGTTACCTTGAATTTGTGAAGAAAACTTAATTTATCTCACATGCCTCCACAGTGAAAGAATAACCCAAAAGTAAAAGGGGCCCACCTTTTACAAACTCTCACATAATGCGTGCAAAACCTCTCAAACACATGCATTTTGCGAAAACCCTCCTATTTAAACACTTCTGCTTGGAAATTCTCACCAAGTGACAC